CTTTTATAGAGTCTAGTCCAAGGTGTGACTTACTTGTGTGAGAAGGGGATGAGGATGTGGTTCTCAGTGCAGGAGCCAGAGGTCATGTGTTTTTTCTCGTTGTCAAACTTGTAGTTGCAGGTTTGGGAGCTTCTGACCAGCTGAGCAAGAGGATAGTGCTGAAAGATAGAATAAAAAAAAGTATATGCTGTGAGCACTGCTGTGGTTCCCGTTGACACCAGATTACAGAATTACTACAGTGATGTAATGTTTGTTGAATTTTAAGTCCAAAACAGTTTCAACAAACCCGACTGAATGTCTTACCATGCCAGAGATGAGGGCCAGAGGGCTGGTATGATCTCTTATTGGGTTGAATTTGTCACATCTGGACAGATCTCTGGTGAGGCTGATATCTGTTGCTATTTCCTCTCTAGCATTGACGGTGAATTGAGTCTTGCACATGCCGTGGATGGTGGGCTGGAACAGATGCAGACAGACATATGGATCCTCACCGGCATGTTTGTGGAAACATTTCTTCTATGATGAAGTCAAGGTGTTTTAAAAAATGTAGATCCACATTTGTGGCAGTGGGAGAATTACCATGTTCTTGTTCCTGTCTTCCTCCAGCAGAGGCACAGCCAGGGTGGAGACGATGCCTCTCTTGATGTTCAGGACTGTCGTTGTCTCACCATCCTCAGTGTACAGCTTTACATCATACAAACCCTCAACCACGACCTTCAGAGGATACCTACAGAAGAATTTAGGAATTTTATCGTCAATTCCTGCAGGCTTTCCTTTGCATGAGGTTTCTAAGTGCAACTGGATGTAACGTACCGCTCCATTTCAGCAGCAAAGGCATCAGAAGTGGCTGAAGGCCTGTACACAGGCTTTCCCTCTGGGCTCGAGTGGAGCGCCTCGCTCAGGCTGCAGCCAGATGTGCGGATGATGAAGCTGCACGTCTGAGGCACTTCGATCTCAACCTGTTTCAAAACAGCATCACAGCATTTCTTTGTGAAATATAATGCAAGAAGAAAAGCATGTATATCAGATGGGTTTAGCAGAATGTTAAATAATGAGACGTAGCTGTTGATGCACAGTGACTCGTACCTTACAGGTGACCTTAGGACCATTGTTGAGAAGTGAACCTCCACTGATGGCATTCAAGGACTCAGCTTCATACATGTATTCATACTTGTTGTAGGCTTTGTACCTTTTGTTCACTGTAAATACAAGACAATCATTTTAAAATTAAAGTTCTGCATGTTGTGAGAATACTACGGCTTTTAACCCTCTGACTCTCAAAACCAGCTGGTCGCTTTAAAAGGCATGTTAGTATGTTTTAAAAAACGGCCAGAATGACACCATTTATCAGTCAGAAATTGAAAAACAAGAAAGTTGATTTCAAGCCTTCTGTCAGTCCATGAACATCATATTTGTGGTGAAAAATCCTCTAAATCTAAGCTTAAAATTGTTGTATTTCATCAGAATTACTTTATTCTACATGTCCCATTAAAAAAAATCTACCAATAATAAGTTGTTTGCTTGGTTTAGATCCTTTAAAAGTAAAAAATAAATTAGTGAGTGGCCTGCAAACGACAGTCACATGTCAAAAATTCAGAGTGTTAGGCTGAACTGCAGGCTGTGTTTAGACAGAAACAAATTAAAGTTGAATATCTGTATAATGCAGTCGACAATACCGGTAATAAATGTGTGCACCTGAGAAAATGTACATGTTGATTCTGTGCTTTTCAATTTTTATAAAACAAATAAAGAAAAGAAATTTGAACTTTTCTTTTTTTTAAATGACATTATAAATTAGTTGTACTGCAGAGTAAACATCTTTTCTTGATTCTCTCTACTTCTAGCCGTGGTTGTGCTGATTCCATAGACGTGCAGGACTTTATATTGCAGTGAGAAATGAACCCACGGTGAGTAAATATGTGGAAAGAAACACCCAGAAACTGCTTTGGGGTGGTTCAGAAGGTTAAACCATAATTAAAAATGCAAATGTACAAATCTGGAGATTTTGTCGGCATGAACTCTGGACTTTAATGTCCTTGTAAAATCTTAAAACACGATCTTATCAGACTTACACAGACAGGACGTCGGCTCCTCTTGGGCATCTGCAATCAGAAGACAGCAGATGAAAAACTTCTTCCTTTTCTTTATTACTATTTAATTACACTCTTGGTCATCATCCCAATTAATGCATCCATCCATTCATCATCTATACACCTCTTAATCCTCACTAGGGTCATAGGGGGCTGGAGTCTATCCCAGCTGACACAGGGTGAAGGCAGGTTCACCTGGACAGGTAACCAGTCCAGGAGACTCCACGCAGAAAGATCCCGGGTGTCCTCACCGGGACGTGAACCGGCGACCTTCTAGCTGCGAGGCGACGGTGCCAACCACCGAGCCACCTTGCAGCCCCAGTTAATACATGATGTACTTTAAGACATACTTACAAGTGAAGGCAGGTGCGATGAGGAGCATCAGCAGACAAAGCTTCGAGTCCCCCATGACGAGTCTCCTTTGACGAGCGCTCAGGAGAGACTGAGGACTCCACCTCCACGCCGGCCTTTTATACCGAAGCCGTTCAGCATGAAAGCTACATGGGAATTACATGCGGTACCACCCCAGCTCCAAAGTCCAAACTGTATGTGGAGGGACAAAGGCAACTGGTTTCATAAAACCTTCCTTGAATATGATTTGAGGTTCAGGATGTCTTTTTGTGTTGGAATAGATAAATCAGTTTTAATTTAAATTTAACAGAAACAAACCGAATCTCCATCGCTACTGAGTCACTGCAGGGAAAAAGCTGTGAAAGATCCTGCTTGTGGATCAGCCATGACTTCATAGTTTCATTCAGGCTTTGCAGCAATCTTAATGCATAAGTGCTTAATAATGGTTTATACCCAAACAGCATTTGCACCAGGACGTTACTTTTAGCTGCAGAGGAACGTGCTTTTCACCTCTAGTCTGAAATTATTTACAGACTAATAATATTCTGATTTCATAGTTGAATACACCTAAAATATCTACATTAAGAGTCAAGATCCAGTATTTTAAACGTCCCCCATATTTCCAGTTTTTCAGCTTTCCTTGGGGGGCGAGGTCGAGAGCCACACATTGCATAATCTGCACCGCTGAAGCCCTGAACACGCTGAACCCGGCCCGGTTGTTATCACTGGACTACAGTCTCTGCTCGCCGTGCAGACATGATCTTTTGCACATGAAACTACGTTTTCCATTCTCTGAACTGGTTATCTCCCGTTAGATGAAGACGCACTTATCTGAACACACCGGCCATAACTGAGGGATTGTGAAACCATCTCGAGGAGTACCGGGTTCACGGATATCAACACCGTACAAACCATGACCCAGATTCTTTTAAAAGTGGAGAAAAATAGTTGATTTATCAGTGAGTGGCAGGTTTATGTGAGCACGCAATCTTGTGCCAAATGGAGGACAGCTGTGGTTACATCACAGATCTGATGTTTACCGTAACACTGATGAAGCACATTATTTTAAATGATTCTTAATGAATGATTACAGATGACAGTCTTTAACTTTGGTTGTTGGTTTCTTAAAGTTGAGCCTTCACAGTTTATTTAAATGTCAGCATCACCAGTACCGTTTATAGACCGGGCCATGAACCCCAGAACTCGACTGTGGTCATATTACATTTTTTTTAAGACATAAAAAATATACTTTAAAACTTCAG